GCTTGTTTTGGAAAATATTTATTGTGTAACTGGGTCACATGTTGGATGAATTCCATATCGTGCGAGATGACGAATATATCTGCAACACAAACAAATCTACCAGTTTTGTTTGTTTGTTTTGTTCCTGTCCGCTACAAGAAGTATCATCGTGCTTAATTACAACGAGCAGGTATGTTGGAGAACAAAGCGATAATTCACATTTTTAGCTGTCGTTTTTTAGCTGATTTGATGACAGGTGCTCACAGACACCAAGACACACGGCAGTCTCCAGGAAGACAAATAATGCATTAGGGATGTGCAGTACCGGACACCGTTCATGAACTCGTGCATTGTTATCAGTATTGGTATGCTGGAAACCATCCACATGGTGACTATTAAAGTTTCAGGTCGAGGCCACTTTTATGTTACATACGGCTGCAGTGCACATGGGCGCGCGCAACAGGTATGCAATAGAATGCTACAGGTAATGGTACAACAAAGCCATACGATCAATGGTGAAAGAGCTGAAACAGGCCTATCAATGCACTATGGTGAGTAGTCAGTGGTCAGTGGCGAAAAATTACATCACGCATGGCGGTCTTAAACGTGTTCAGTGTTGCGGCATCACAGACGCACAATGACAAGCGGTTCCAGGTAGCTGCAGATCGATGCGAAAACGTCCTTTGTTTGGCGGTCAGTCGTTGTCTGCGCAGGTGCAGACTACCTCTTTCCGGGGCGCACGTTTGACGGATGGAAACTGCGGTGCATGACACTAAAAACGCGCGGACCTCGTGAGGCGCACCTACCTGCTTCAGCGACTGATACACTTTCATCACGCCGCGGCGCGCCACCATGGCTTCGATCCTTGGCCATCCAAGGGAATTTAGAGCCGCAGTTATATGGTATATTTTTTGGAGCCGGTAATTTGTCTTGCAGCAAAGTTAAATGTTTTTGTTTTAAATCTTGTGCAGATGATTCTTGGCTGTCAAATCAAACACGCACAGGCAACACGTGATATTAGGGAACACGCGCACCTGAATGATAGTTTGAGAAGATCTGAAGTGAATTAATGACGAAATTGGCACAGAGAAACGATTGTGCCATTGCGTTTTTGGCAACACTTGGGACATGGGAGACCAAATGACAGACCTGAGTTAAATATGACGCCAAGAATTTTGTTGGTACTTCAGGCATGCACAGTTGAACTGTTTATTTCAAAGTGGACGTCAGCTGGCTTTTTAAGATTTGCGTTGACTCAACGAGCATAGAAGCAGTTCTTGTTTGGTTTATTTGGAGAGATTTGGCACTGAACTAGTTCTGGAGTTCACGCATGGTACGTTCCGGTCTGGTTTTGATGTCGGCGAGACCCGGTCCGTCAGGGGGCGCGCAGTCCACGTGCACAGTGTCGTCAGCTTAGGAGATGAGGCGACTATGAGTCAAGGATCCATATAGATCATTCGTTAACAAAGTAAAGCTGAACCGATGATCGAGCCCTGAGATGCACCGCATGACATGGGGAGAATGAACCGCCCTCCATGCACCACTTGCCCTCGACCTCTCAAAACGCTCCTAAACCATTTCATATCGGGAACGCAATGCCAGAACAGCTTGGTGAGGAGGGCGTCGTGATCGACGCTATCGAACGCTTCTGACCGATGATCGATGATCTATCGATGATCGATATGATCGATGGTCGCTGCCGACGATATAAGACCGTTGAAGGTGTTGGTGACCAGGCGTTCGACTGCTGCGTGCACAGCGTCCTCGGTCGAGTGGCGTGGCCCATAGGCATACTGGGATGAATGCAGCAGCGCTGTCGCATTCAAATACCCCGTTAGCTGTGTGCAAGCTATCCTTTCTAAGGTATAGTGAGAAAACTGAGTAGAGTTATGGAGCTATTATTGGACGTAGAGCCGGATTAACTAGCTTCGAAACTGCTACAACAAATAACGTCTTTCAGCGACCTCGAGAATTTTTGGTCACGAGAGAAAAGTCGATGTGTTTGAAAAGATGAGGACCGACGACTTGAAAACATTCCCATTCAGCCTGGAGTGGGGCCTCATTCAGCCGGCGTTTACTGCGCTCCGCAGGTCGGCTGCGATGCGGGACCCCACGGCAGCAAAGCGGCTGTTGAGCCTGCCCGCCGTCACCTCGGCCTCCTCGGGGCTCACTGCAGACCCGCCCTCGGCCGGCGTCGAAGCCGCCATAGCGAGCCTCTTGAAGTTGGTCAGAAGCCGCGGCCGTCACCGCGCGCCATCTCGCCGCAAAGGAACTCGCACCTTGCTGTAATTAGGCGGCTCTCGGCCTCATTGCGAAGTTGCGTAAGGTCGGCCCAGCTATCTGATGTGCGCAGACACAGCGAGGTGTCCTGCGTGCTCTCTCGCTCGGACACGAGCTCTCACTGGGCCAGGTCGTCGGTCAACCAGGGGTTGTGCGGTTTGGAGGCACGTATTCTTTAAAGGGGGCAGCAGCGATTCATCGCAGCTTTCCACAGCCATGAATTGCCGCAGGTACGCGTTGTAGTCAGTGGCGCCGCCCGCCCGGCTCCAGTCGGATGGCAGAAGTTTGAGACAGATGGCACTCCAGTCTGTGGGTTTTCAGCTGCGAAGAGCACGCCACTGCGAGCTCCTCCGGACGCGACCTAGATGTATTCTCACGACAGGCTGATGATCGCTGATGACGTCAGGCAAGATGTTGACGTCAGGTGTGCGGTCACGTTGGTTGTTGACGATGTGCTCTAGCGCTGATGGAGTTGGGTGAAGGTAAGTCGAGCTGTCCACCAGCTGTACCAGCTCGCTGGTGATGTCAGAGTGGCGGAGTATGTGAGGCGAGTTGGTGTCCAACGCGTTTACGTTCACGTTGCCGAGGAGAAAAACGGGTTTGCTTGCACCGACGGATTCTGGGAGCTGCTACTGTAGCTGCTCCAGGCTAGGCGTCACAGTGCTAATGGGGGGGGGGGGGGGGGGGGGGGGGTGGTAGATGACGCCCACCATGGTAGGCCGGACGCCTTGCCATTAAGACGAGACCCGCAGGGGTCCGTCTGCCGGCATGGCGAGTTGCTTGAGCTGTATTTCAGCAAGGTGCAAGATGGTAGCGCCACCCTTCTTTGGGCGCCGCGGTCGCGTCTGAGGATGCTATAGCCGGGAAGCCCCAGAAGCGCGCCAAAGACTCGAGATGTAAGCCACGTCTCTGACAGGCAGAGCATGTCCAGTTTATGGTGGACCAGGAGCATGCTAATTTTATCAAAGTTGCTGTTTAGCGAACCGACGTTCAAGCCTGATCTTAAGCTGGGCGACGGGCGCTGCAGTGGGTCGAGTGACGTCACCCCGCCTCTGCCTACCGGCGGTGCCACGGGCACGCTCAGGAGGCGGGGACAGTACTTTCATGAGGGCGCGGCCGTATGCCAGGCAGAGGTGACGTCCAAGTGGCGGTGAAGCCGTACTGCGACGCCGTCAGTCCGCGTCACTGTCGATGCGATGTCGTCGCTGCCGCACGCGCTGTTCGGCGAGGGTGCCCGTCGTCTCCCTCGTCCAGTCTGAGACGTCCTCTTCTCCGCCGCTGTGCGGCATCTGAAATGGATGCACTCCATGAACGGCACGTCCGCCCCGCTGCTCCAGGGCCTGGCGCCGCCTCTGCGCAGCAGCCAGGCCGGCTGTAGCCGTTGGCCTTGACCTGGCAGCGACTGTGGTAGAAAGAAGTAGACTGTGGGCGGACGCGCTGATTGGTGGAACCCCATTGTTATACCTCTTCTTAAAGCGGTAGAGGACGGAGACCCGAGTCGCGACGCCGGGCATTTGGCGATTGAGGGCATCGAGATGGCAGCGACAAAAACAAGTCACTGATATGAGCCACGGAGGTAAAAGCCGCGGCGTCAGAAGCTGCTCACTAGATTCCGTATCTCAATGGCCCGGTTCCTGCACACTTGCACTTCTCTCTGTCACTCAGGGCCGCGGCAAACATTACAAACAAACCGAGGTCTCGGATTTGGCGACCACCGTACTAAGGCGGAAGAAGCCAAATCCGCAATGTAAGAAACGTCCCATATAAATAACGACTGTGCACATTTTTGCCGTAAAAGAAATGACGGTTGTAGGTTTCGGAAACATAAATGTTGTCGCGTGGCACCAATGCCGCGCACAGGCATTTGCAGAAGAAGTGCCCAGCGTGATATTCTTCTGCTGTAGATAACTCAATTTCTCTTTTATTAAGTGCTCTCCTCAATACGTCATTGTTTGGTTATGTCATTCTATCTTGCACAACATTACGAGGGCCAATTAATGGCCGTGATGTCTTGAATTTAGAGCGCGTCGAGGGATGGATGTTAGGAGGCGGGAACACGTCTTATCGGACGATGGATTCTTAACGCTACTTGTCTTGAAAAGGTGCTCACGAACGCCAGATATGAACCACTCGTCCATTGTATCTTTCTCGGCCTTGATTGCTCCATAGCTTATATAATGACAGGGTTTTTAAGGTGTTATTGTCGCGGTTTGAATGCGCATGTGAACTTAAAATACCCTCCCCGAAATGCTCTGATCATTTTTGCGAGTACATAGCCCAGAAACTAGAAGAGCTAGGGTTTCAGAGGGGCCGGGCCTTAAACTGCACGACAAAGTCTTCAAAGTGGCTAATCTACTTAAAAATTCCATGCAATTGTGGAATCCGCCCTTTAACTATAGGTAACGGTTTATGACTTTCTGCAATGTAAGTAAGTGCGGGTGTTCATTTTTGCCGTCTGTGTTTTGCGGAGTAGCACCAATGTCGCGTATACGTACTGGCAGTGGGCGTAATGTCGAACCACTCATATCAGTAGGAATTTTTACCGCATCACAAATGTCATGAACGCCGTTTGTTCGCGACTTGAAAATGGTTGTTGTTTGGTGCAACACAGAACCAAAACAAAACTTAAATGGTTAGATTCTCAATGTATTTTGTGTTTTACAACATCGTACAATGGGGCCTTTAAACGAGTCACTCAATAAATATATCTAAAAACAGAGTAATATCATAAAACTCAGATCTTAGTTCCTGTACTTCTGGACGGGACGGTAGGCGTAGATGGTCTCCTGTTCGGGCTCCTGGTACACGGGAGCGGGCTTGTAGACGGGAGCAGCCTCGTAGACGGGAGCAGGGGCGGCCTTGTACTCGGGCTCCTCGGGATACTGGGCCTCGCCCTCGTACGTGACCTCAGCGTTGTAACCAGCGTAGTCGTCGACTGTGTACTTGACCGTCTGGACGCGGCCGTCGGGCAGGGCCACCGTGTAATAGCCGGACGTCTGCTTGCCGTCGCTGTTCTCGTTGGCGGCGAACTTGGAGCCCGACTCGTAGTCGTCGACCGAGTAGTCGAAGGCGTACGGCGAGGGCTCGAACTCGGGCTCCTTGTAGGCAGCAGGGGCGTGGTAGGCGGTGGGGGCGTGGTAGGCAGACGGAGCCCGGTAGGCAGACGGGGCGTCGCTGGCGACCGCGACGGCCAGGAGGGCGGCAACAATGTAGACCTTCATTCTGGCGGAGGGTGGTGTGTGCGCGACTGGATGACTGTTGACTGTTGACTGATGCCGAGACGCTGAACACTAGTTTTTATACGGGTTTGGAGCGGCGCATGACCTTGGAGAGATCGGGGCAGCTGGCTATCTTCTGTTTGCGTGTTCTCGGAAACAATCCCCTCGGGCTCAGAGAGAAACTGGGGTCCTCGAGGACTCATGCGTAGGCGGGGCCAGAGTCCTGTGGGAGAGGTCTGCCACATCTGGGTTATGGGCCAGGTCGCAGGCACACCTCGCCGTTTGTTTATAGGCTACTGTAAAAATGTTGCTATCGCCATGTGTCAGGTCGCTTAAAAAGAAATGTTGGATGACCTTTTCTTGCGATACAGCGAAGAGAGCACATAGCAATGCTCACAGTTCTCAGAACAGCACAATTAAAACATGGCTAGTAGTTGTTTAACGCGCGTTCGCTAGAATAGAATAGCATACCCGGATTCTGCAGCAAGTCGGCAAGGTTGGGTAGGCCTCTAACTTTTAAGGCGTAGGTGGAACGTCACCGTGCGTGCATCAAATTTTTTGCACCATAGCAGAGGTTCATTGCCTTACGGGTTAGGGGGAGTGAAACAAGGACGAAAAAACAGATAACACCACAATATTTTTTTCGGTTTGAACTGGTTGGTAGCGATTGGCATTCTAGACCAAGGTCCATGGACAAATATGGAGGGACTGAGACAGCACGGAAATGCAAAGTTCCAAGCAGGCCTTGCTATGGTTTGTAAGGTTTTTTTCTCGTCTTATGACACTCGCCGGTCTGGTGTTTTTCGCTTTCACCGGGATGGCTTTGACCTCACCATTATCGGATGAGGTGGCCTCAAGGAATCACCGGATCTCTGGAAAGCTAAAAACGGTATAGCCGAGCGGCAAGGAGCTACAAGCGACTTCCGCATGACTCGATCAGTGTTGTGTCATTGTCATCCGTGCAAGTCACTTTGATGGGCCTAAATTCCATAAATGTGTGATTGCTACACTGGAGCAATCCGTATTCGAACAGCATGGGTTATTGCAGGGGAATGCAGTGTTGTATAGTATTGTACATTGAACCAATGTTGGTAGAAACCTCTAAGATGAGGCATCCTGTCAGGTGTGAATTCAGGCGTTACGGGCCAAGCCTGATATGCAAAAACACTTGTTGCGAGATTTAATGGTTCGAAGATAAACCAAAGGACGATAGAGCGTGCAGAAATTATATAAACTAGACTACTGAAAGCTGAAACAACAAGCGTGCTGTGGGTTACTCTCGGTTTAGAAAAAATCATGCATTTTCTTGTCCTTTTCCGGTGTAGATATCAAAAGAGCGCGTAGGAACACTTTAGTTCTACAGAGGGTCATGTAGATCCGCCAGCAGTTGACTGTTTTCAGTGGTATATGCAGCATATGTTTACCCACTATTCCAATAAAATACCAACATGGCCCATGGGTGTCGTGATTGTTCGGGAACGGTGGGGCAATGTAAGGTTTCGGTTCAAGCGAGGACAACAAATAGAGGACAAGTATTTTGACTGTTCAGTAACACGACGGTGCGAGGGAAGAGCAACGCATGCTGCTGACGTGCTCGGTCTGTATCTGGTGGCCTCTCGCCGCGCACCACACCGCGTTCTCAGTCGTGAAGCCCGTCTACACGGTCTGTTGAGACCAATGCTACAGCCGTGCATATGGGCGTTCTCATTATTAACAAGAATTGTATCAAGCTGTTAACGCTCACGACCTTGTCTGATTGAACATATCCATGGCTGGTTGAAGCCAATGCTTCTGTTTTGCCACGTTTAGACCCTCTCTGGTTGATACCTTATGATTTGGGGATGCAGCCTGTTCCCAGTTCTTCATCGCCAAGTTCCGACCATTAACACGCGCTTAAGTGTGGGGGGTCAAATTGACCCCCTCCCCCAAAGGTTTTCCAGAATGGCTTCCGAACGGCGCGGCGTAGTCGCCCCAAATTTTGCATTGGTGTAGACAATTGAATAACGGATCGTTTGGCATTAAACATTTAGATGTACCTTGTAAGGTCGCTGACCTATGGCGGGTCAAATTCAGGCCATGATTTCAGGGAAGGCAATTTCTAGGGAATCCTTCAATCTGATCCAACAACGGAGTGTTAGACGAAGCCATGCATATCTTAGATTTTTTTTTGGGGGGGGGGGTTAACACAACAGTTGAATGAGCAAATTGCATTGACCTAAGGTCAGGTATGAAGGTCACATTAAGGTCAAAACTAACCTGTTTTATCACTCTAGGGTTTGCTGTATGGGATAGTTTCTGGTGTTCATTTTGAGTTGAGTGATTGCAGGAACTGCATTATGAATCTTCTATGGACTTCTTAGATGTCAGAATAGGTCATTGATCTAAAATGATCTAGGTCAACATTGTGTTTTAGAAACATACTGCCTGGCGTAATCGTTGTCGCTTAGTCGAATGCAAAACTGAAAGCAATCTTTCATGATTTTGGTCACCTTGACCTTCAAAAGGATCAAACAAGGTCACTGGCCTTAAATGAGTATGAAACCTTTTGCTTAGAAACGGTTATCTACGTTCACTTTGGAGACTAACTTGGAGACCAGGAGGCACTTTGGAGACCAACCTTGAAACTTACCTTGTTTGACGTTTTTTTGGCCCGAAGGTCATGACCAAGGCATCTGAAACTTTGACCTAAGTGAGTTCACGTACAGGCCAACACGCTCTGTAAATTTGAGCTTCTAGCTTTCTTAATTCTTGAAATCTCTGGAGGTCAAACTGCCCCCCCCCCCCCCCACACCCGAGCGAAGGGTACCCAGCCGGCCACCCGGGCGCGTGTTAAGATACCAGCATGTGAGTTCTCAGATAAGTGTGTTGCAGACGACTATTAAGAATGCCTGTGCGTTCAGATGTGAGTAAGAAGTTGAATCAGCTCAGTCGGCACTTCAAGAGCGCCGATTTCCGCGCGCAGCATTGGGGCCTTTGCCGGGCATTTGGGGATTGAGGACATCGAGATGGCAGCGACAGAAACAACTCACTGATATAAGCCACGGAGGTAAAAGCCGCGGCGTCAGAAGCTGCTCACTGGATTCCGTACCTCAATGGCCCGGTTCCTGCACACTTGCAGTTCTCTCTGTCACTCAGAGCCGCGGCAAACATTGCAAACAAACCGAGCTATCGGATTTGGCGGCCCCCGTACTAACGCGGAATAAGCCAAATCCGCACTGTAAATAACGCCCAATATAAATAACGACCGTGCACATTTTTGCCGTAAAAGAAATGACGGTTGTAGGTTTCGGAAACATAAATGTTGTCGCGTGGCACTAATGCCGCACACAGGCACTTGCAGAAGAAGTGCCCAGCGTGATATTCTCCTGCTGTAGATAACTCAATTTCTCTTTTATTAAGTGCTCTCCTCAATACGTCACTGTTTGGTTATGTCATTCTATCTTGCACAACATTAAGAGAGCCATTTAATGGCCGCGATGTCTTGAAAGGGTGCTCACGGGCGCCAGATATGAACCACTCGTCCGTTGTATCTTTCTCGGCCTTGATTGCTCCATAGCTTATATAATGGCAGGGTTTTGATGGTGTTATTGTCGCGTTTTGAATGCGCATGTGAACATAAAATACACTCCCCGAAATACTCTGATCATTTTTGCGAGTCCATAGCCCAGAAACTAGAAGAGCTAGGGTTTCAGAGGGGCAGGGCCGTAAACTGCACGACAAAGTCTTCAAAGTGGCTAATCTACTTTAAAATTCCATGCAATGGTGGAATCCTCCCTTTAACTATAGGTAACAGTATATGACTTTCTGCAATGTAAGTAATTGCGGGTGATAATTTTTGCTATCTGTGTTTCGCGGAGTAGCACCAATGTCACGTATGCGTACTGGCGGTAGGCGTAACGTCGGAGCACTCATATCAGTTCGAATTTGTACCGCATCACAAATGTCATGAACGCCGTTTGTTTGCTACTTGAAAATGGTTGTTGTTTGGTGCAACACAGAACCAAAACAAACTTTAAATGTTTGCATTCTCAATGTATTTTGTGTTTTACAACATCGAACAATGGAGCCTTTAAGCGAGTCACTCAATAAATATATCTAAAAACAGAGTAATATCATAAAGCTCAAAGCTTAGTTGCTGTACTTTCGGACGGGACGGTAGGCGTAGATGGGCTCCTGCTCGGGCTCCTGGTACACGGGAGCGGGCTTGTAGACGGGAGCAGCCTTGTAGACGGGGGCAGGGGCGGCCTTGTACTCGGGCTCCTCGGGGTACTGGGCCTCGCCCGCGTACGTGACCTCAGCGTTGTAGCCAGCGTAGTCGTCGACCGTGTACTTGACCGTCTGGACGCGGCCGTCGGGCAGGGCCACTGTGTAGTAGCCGGACGTCTGCTTGCCGTCGCTGTTCTCGTTGGCGGCGAACTTGGAGCCCGACTCGTAGTCGCTGACCGAGTAGTCGAAGGCGTACGGCGAGGGCTCGAACTCGGGCTCCTTGTAGGCAGCGGGGGCGTGGTAGGCGGTGGGGGCGTGGTAGGCAGACGGAGCCCGGTAGGCAGACGGGGCGTCGGTGGCGGCAGCGACGGCCAGGAGGGCGGCAACAATGAAGACCTTCATTCTGGCGGTGGGTGGTGTGTGCGCGACTGGATGGTCAGCTGTTGACTGATGCCGAGACGCCGAACACTTTCATTTTTATACGGGTTTGGAGCGGCGCATGGCCTTGGAGAGATCGGGGCAGCTGGCTGTCTTCTGTTTGCGTTTTCTCGGAAGCAATGCCCTCAGGTTCAGAGAGAAGCTGGGATACTCGAGGTCTCACACGTAGGCGGGGCCAGAGTCCTGTAGGAGAGGTCTGCCACATTTGG